GGATCACACTTTTCCGTCAGCTGTGAAATAAATCGAGCTATATAATTCAATCTCCCCAAAATTCTTTTGACTTTTTTTGTGTTCGTGGGGTTGGCAAGTCTTGAATAGATTTTACTTTATCTGGGTCTATTTTAATTCTTTTTTGGCTTACTATGAATCCCAACATCTTCCCAGATGTCACCCCAAAAGTACATTTATTTGGGTTGAGTTTTAACTGACATATTCTTAGTCTTTTAAAGAGCTTTCTCAAATTCCCAATATGTTCTTCCTCTGTCTTAGCTTTGACAATCATATCATCGACATAAACTTCTACTTCTTTATGCATCATGTCGTGAAATAACGTCACCATGACCCTTTTATATGTTGCCCCTGCGATCTTTAATCCAAACGGCATTACTTTATAACAAAACGTTCCCCACATGGTAACGAACATCATTTTTTCCATATCTTCAGGGTTCATCTTAATTTAATTATAGCCAGATAAACCATCCATAAAAGAGAACAAAGAATTTCCAGCAGTATTATCCACTAGAGTGTCTATGTGGAAAAGGAAAATTATCTTTTGGACTAGCTCGGTTGAGATCTCTGTAGTCGACACACATTCGAACCTTCCCATCCTTCTTCGGTACTGGGACGATATTCGCCACCCATTCAGGATATTTAGCCACTTTAAGAAACTCAGCATCAAATTGTTTCTTCACTTCCTCTTTAATCTTGAGCAGCATCTCATGTCTCATTCTTCTCAGTTTTTGTTGTACCGGCTTACACTCTGGCTTTATTGGTAGTTTGTAAACAACCAACTCTTTATCTAAACCCGGCATATCTTCGTATGACCAAGCAAACACATCTTTGTATTCTTGAAGCAATTCTATCAGATCATATCGACCTCCAACTGACAGAGTGGTTCCAATCTTTACTTCTCTCTTATCCTCATATGTTCCCAAATTCAAAATCTCGGTAGGCTCTTTATGAGGCAGAATTTGATTATCTTCATTCTCCACCATTTTCAACAATTCAAAAGGTAGTTCATATCCTTCATCATCATCACAATCCTCGATTTCCCCTTGACATATAGGCTTCACGAAATCAATATCCGGGCCAGGGTCATTAGCATTCATATTATTGATATCAGAGCTCCTGAAAAAATAATGAAAGATAAAATATATATACATATATACATATAGGAGGATATTTTCCCATATAAATAAATAGAAATAAATAAATACATACATTATACAGCAAAGAATGAATGAATGAAATGAATGGGAGAATGTTTGTCATTTGGAACTAACATAATGCCTCTTTTATTGAAAACAAGAAAAAAAACAAACATCTTAACCCTTTACATAAAATCACCTATTGCCCCAGGGTACTAACAACAGGGAGAAAGTTCCAGTGCATTACTCTGTAACAGATTTGTAAACTACAGACAGTTCTTCCGCGGTCCAATTGTTCAACACGAATCCCGGCGGTGCAGGATAAATACCCATAGCTCTCATTTCCTCAAATTCATCATCAGTTATAACATTAATGCCTAAATCTCCCAAGGCATTCTCAACCATTATCTCATTACTCATTGAATTCCCTTGAAACATATGTCCCCCAGATATGAAAATGCTGCTCAACGGCAGGAAGGTCATGGGTTCCCAGCTAAGGTCTTCACCGGCCAATCTGGCCTTTCTCATTTCCTGACCCTTCTTAATTCCCCTCAGCTTATCCCTCAGAGTTGGCTGATACACCAAACCAAATCGATCTCTTTTAGTAACAGGGCATATTGGATTCACCAGTCCTTGTAACTGACTTCCTAACCCCTTTCCAACTTTCGCTCCTCTTCCAAGAGTCAGCTTGAGTCCCATTTTGGTACAATTTGACAATCTAGGCTTTGGTATCTTCCTTCCTTCAGCCACAAACATAGGATTGACAAACTCCAACGATATGAAAGAACACTCGACTGCTTGCTCATCAACTTCAATATACGGAGCAGTAGTAGAAACATGAGCAATAATGTCCTCTTCAGCGTGAATACATACCAATCTTCCATCAATCACAAATTTCAGTCTCTAGTGCAACGTGGATGGAACTGCACCGACCTAATGAATCCAAGGCCTTCCCAACAAACAATTGTACGTAGGCATAATGTCCATTACGAGAAATTCCACTTCATAAGTTGTTGGACCAATAGTTAGAGGAACATCAATCTTGCCCAACACTTCTCTTTTAGTCTCATCGAAAGCTCGAACCACACTTTGACAGATTCTCATAAGTGTACCATCTAATGGAAGCTTCTTCAAAGTCACTAAGGGTATAACATTTAAAGTCGAACCATTATCAACCAAAACCCGGGACAACACATGCCCTTTACACTTTCTGTGATATGCAAAGCCTTCTGACTACCAATCATTCCAGAAGGGATCTCATCCTCAGAAAAAGATAAAAAATTATCAGCTTGTATATTGGAAACTAACCGGTCCAACTTTTCAATGGGTAACTCTTTCGGAATAAAAGTCTGGTTCAAAACCTTTAACAGAGCATTTCTATAGGCCTCTGAACTCAAAAGTAATGATAAAACAGAAATACGGGCAGGCAACTTGTGTAACTGTTCAACGACACTGTACTCGCTGTGCTTTAAAAACTTCAAAAATTCTATTGCTTCACTCTCAATTACAAGTTCATTGATAGCAGGCTCATATTCTTTTATCTGAACATCAACCTTTTCCCCTTATCAACCGCAACCTTCTTCTCAGACTCTTTAGGTGGATTAAGAGAATAACACCTACCACTTCTGGTAAAGTGTCTCACCTCATCTACTTCCTCATTCTCTTTTGTTACATCTCCCATCTGACAATCATATCTCCAAGGCACTTGTTTATTTTCCCGATATGGGAATGGAGATGGAGGTGTAATAACCACTTTCGGAGCTACCTTTTCAGCAATTCGATTCTTGGGAGTAATAATTAGGGGACAACTGGCATTGTATACCCCTTTAGACGATCCTTCTGAAATGCAAACTTCCGCTTCCTCTTCTTCAACAATCTCTTTGAAGAACTCAATTTCTTTATTGTCCATCATGTCTTGTACCAAAGATAGGAAGTCGGGACATTGCTGAATATTGTGTCCTTCACTGTTATGATACTGACATACCTCTCCACTGTTAAACTGTTCATCCATCAAACAGGGTTTTAACAATCCTACTATAACCATCTGGCACCACACCCAACTCATGGGTGATACCACATCACTAACCTTCTTTACAATTCTCTTTCTTTTCTCTTTAGTAATCGCGTTAACTCCTGCCCCTGCATGGCTTGTCAACGGATTCTGAGCTATATTCGGCTGCTCACTATCACCAAAGTTGATGACATTCCTCATTCTCAAAGCTTGGATAACTTTCTTAAACGCAGTACAATTCTCAATGGAATGCCTGAGATTCCCCGCATGGTACTCACACTGAACACTAGCATCATACCATTGGGGAAAAGGAGGTTGCATTGTTGTCACGTGATACGGCAAAACCACATGTCGATCATACAAAATCTGAAACAATTCCTTATAAGTCATCGGGATGGGGTAAAATTGAGGCATCTCTCTCCTCTGGTCCCTTGCCCCTTGTCTATTGTCATTTTGTGTTGATGACCCTGCTCCTTGAGGACGGGAAACAGTGATGTTATTAGAATCGTACTGCCTCACATTACTGACTTCATTTTTATTTTTCCTCATTCGTGGCCTCTTACTAGACTCTCCTCCTTCGAGCTTTCCACTCTTAACCGCTATTTCAATCATTTCTCCCACCGTAACTACATCAGCAAAACTTTGATAAGGATTACCGATAAGATGCGAGAAAAAAAGAGCCCTTAAGGTATTGACAAAAAGCATATTTATTTCCTCCTCTTCCAATGGTGGATGAACTTGCACCGCTACATCTCTCCATCTTTGAGCATATTGTCTAAAACTCTCGTTAGACTTCTTTTCTATTTCTTGCAACATCATTCTGTTGGGCCTAACATCTTTTACATGTTTGTATTGCTCAAGAAATAACTTAGCCAATTCTTTCCATGATTTGATATTATCTCTACTCAGCTGGTTATACCACTGGATTGTCGAACCAGTTAAGCTTTCCTGAAAACAATGTATCAACAATTGATCATCCCCTATGTATCCGGTCATCTTCTTACAAAACATCGTGATATGCGCAGAGGGACACCTGGTACCATCAAACTTCTCAAAGTCAGGAACCTTGAACTTTGGAGGCAAAACCAAATCAGGAACTAGACTTAATTCCTTTGCGTCGAATCCATAGACACTAGTATCTTCCTTCATGGCTCTGACTTCTCTTTCTAGCTGTTTCTATTTCTCTTCCAGCGGATTGTTTTGGTCCTCTTGGCTTCTTCATCAAGGTCCAGAACATGATGATATTGATGTTCTTCCTGATATGAACTAGATCCAGGTTGTACGTTAACAGAAGCACCGACTGGATTAATGTGTACCTTCCCAACATGAACAGGGGTCACTTGAACGTTCTGAGATTATTCTGGGGTTAACCCTGGAGGATAAGTGGGTCCTCAGTTACAGCTCCCGGCATAGGGCCTTTCCCATGTTCTGGATTTCTTCCTTCCAACATACTCGCAAACTTGGCAAACATCTCCTTTTGTGCATTCATCATATCTTCTTGCATTTTCTTAATATTATCTTGTAACTCCAACTGAGCCTTCTCAATTTGGGCAAGTTTGTCCTCCATAACTTTCTTCCTGGTTCTATAGGTATGCTTGGGATTTTCCAGTATTACTCTGTCACAGAGTCATTTTGTTATCGCTGATATTTATTAATGAATATGAAATATATGATTATGAATGAATAAAATGCGATGCAAAAAATTTAAATGTATTAAAAAATGCATATTCAAAATGCAGGGTGTTGATCATGAAACGACTCCTTAGAACAACTCTTTATATTAGAACGACGTTCAATTACAAAGTTGAAACATATCACAAATAAATCTGTACCATCTCTCCTATTTGTTGTACATGTGCTAGAAACTCCACGATCTTCTGTTTTTTCTTCAGCCTCAGGATCCAGTTCTTCAGTCACATCAGCAGCTTCCTCAGATAGAATGACCAAATATTGAGCTATTCTCCGCGCGTGTCCTAGGTAACAAGCAATAAGGTCCTCTCTTTGCTTAACTCTCGCCTGAGCTCGCTCCCATCGAAAACGCCACTGTATATCCCCCTCATAAGAAACTATCGATAGCTCACTTGCTTGCCTCTAAAAATCTTGAACCATGGCTTCAAGCTCACTCACTTGTTTTTTTAGACTCTCAACTTCCCCATGGCTTGAGCTACATTCCCTATTTCGATATTGTCGTAATGCAGTCTCTAAACTTGAAATTTTCCCCTTTAACTTCTCATTCTGAGCTTGACTCTCTTGTAACTGCTGCTCTAAAGAATTATTTTCCTTCGATAAAATCTTAACTTGGTGTCTGCTTCGCTTGAGCTCTTCTTGACTCTCTCCGGCTACTCTTTTGAGGCTCGCCACCTCTTGCCTCAATTTGACAGACTTACTCGAGCTAGAACCTACCTGAGCTTTTACCATTCGCTGATAAGTTGACCGAAGATCATCAAAGTCTAGCCGAAGTTGCTTCTCTACTTTTTCAATTCGATATGCTCTACTCTTCTGAATGTCAATCTCCAATCCCTTTTGATACACTTCATCTTCTAGCTTCTGTAAAGTCATTCTCCATTGTCTCCGTTCTGCTTCGAAATCGCGCTTAGCTAACTCTAATGGAGATGGCACCACTCTTAAATATTCCTCCACCGGCTGAATATTTTCAGGATTCACTATCGGGGATGTTGTCATTTACTCGACCGCTTCTTCACTGCTCGTACTCTTGAGATAACTCGAGATCATAAGTGAACAGATTCACACGACGAGTTTGCTTCCAGGCCTCAGCAACCCCTTTACCTTTACCCTTATATTGATCTCCTTTGAATGCAAAATCCGACCCTACCAAGTCCCATGTGGCTGGAATGAACTGCCTTGACCCATACTGTCTGGAAACTAGTAGCGGTGCATACCCAACAGAACCCCATATACCTGGTAAAGGAACCTAATCTCGCTCTCCACATTGGTAAAGTATATCCGAAAAGACATTCCATGAAGCTCGCCATAAAATATCACCATCTCTGATATCCTTGAAGATGACCATTCATTTTTCTTCGGTGAAGCCCTAGGCCATTCTTTAGAAAGAAAATCCTTCAAAGGCAAAAATCCCTCTAGAAACACTCGTCCTGGTGCCCTTTCTACATGTTTGAAATGACTCAGAATCCACACTAGCAGCAAAGGCGCACACCCTATAAAGCGTCTTTCTCCCTCGCGCCTACAAGAACTCAAAGACCGGAATGTCTCAGCTAGAATGGCTGGAACAGGATCCATGTGCTTGTCTAATCTTTCAAACAGGTCAACGACTGATACGTCTACATATCCTAGCACCTTTGGAAAAATAACGAGCTCATAAATCCCTAAAGCAAACAAGTCAAGCTTCTTTATCTTATCAGGGTGATGAGCAATTACTTCTTTCAGAGCAGCCCAAGAGATGCACTCATTGTCTCCCTTCTTCTTAATGTTTCTGACTACCCAATCTTCACTCATTCCGGTCATCAATAGCAATTTCTTCTTAAACGAAAGAGTTACTGGCAGCTTGTTATATATTCTATCTATCTGGGACCTCGGACAACGGACCAAAGCTTGATACTCTTCTATTGTTGGTGTCAGATCCACTCTACCAAATGTGAAACAAACTATAAGCCGGATTCCAGAACTGCGCCAATGCTCTAAACAAATTTCAATCAATAGGAACATCCAAAAGATAAGGAATATAGCCATACAACTGATAAAACATCTCTTTGTCGGCTGTTTCCCATCTTACTCATACCTCTTTTAGTTCACTCAGATCATTCTGACGTACATTGATGTGAGTATAACCAAATAACTCTGACACATATCCAGGCATCACATTGTCCCCGTTGGTCAGTTGGGATTGTTCCAACCTGTAACATCCTCCATGTCGGGTGAGTGATTAATTTGCAAAGTTTCAACATTTGGTGATTTAAGTAATATGATGGAAGAGTGTAATGATTTATTTGAATTATTTGGTGTAGGATTTAATTATAAAGAAGGGGAATTAAGAGGGTAAAAGAGTAATTGAGTAAATGAATTAATTAAATATTCTTTGGGGATTATATTAGAACCACGTTCCAGAATTCTCTCATTTCTTCTTCCTTCTTCCTTATTTTCTTCTCTTCCTTCTCCCAACGTGAAGCTTGCAAGTAAAGGTAAGAAAACTGAACCTTGGTAGTTTCTTTGATTTTTAAGATTGGAATTGAAAGTTTGGATGTTATATAAGCTAAAGGAAAGCTTATATGACATTAAAACTACAAGATAAGTGTTTTAGAGATAGATTTGGAAAATGAGTTTTTAGATGAAATTTTGATATGGATGAGTTTTTGATGTTTGAATAAGATTTTTGACTTGTCAATAAGCTAATTAAGAAGTAGGAAGTCATGGAATTGAAATTAGAACAAGTTGGAATTGGAGTTAGATTCTTCAATTCTATATGGATGAGTAGTTTTCTTAGTTTTAGAGGTATTGAATGGATAATAATTAGTTTAAGTAAGTGTATGAGAGCTAAGAGGATTAAAGGAATTGAAATATGTATGTTTGAGCTGAAATGAGACGATTTCTGGGCTCAAAATAGGATTTCTGGGTTAGGGGAATCGGTACCCATTCAAGGGGAACCGATACCCCTTCAACAAATATGAATTTCCAGTATACTAGAGGGAATCGATACCCCCAGGGGGGAACCGATACCCCCTCAACGAATATGAATTCCAGAATGCTAGTGGGAATCGATACCCCAGGGGGGGAACCGATTCCCCCATGAGAAAAAAAAAAGAGAAAGAAAAGAAAGAAAGACTAAGCTATAAATTCCTTAAATTAGTAAGCTATTAAAGCTTAATTTCAAGACATAGACATCTGATGATCATCTTGAAAATTATGTTTATGTAGATACCGAGCCTACTCGAGTTCGGGAACAATCTACAAGTAGAATCGATCGAGGAAAAGGCAAAGAAGTATAGGTGAGTGCATATGCATAGCATGATTATAGAAATATACTCCATTCTAGACTTGTGATAAGTCTAGATTTCATATCTTGGTACATGAGCATAGTCGGTATTATGAGACATGACATGAATTCATAAAAAAATGCATTATATGACCTGACTATGTGGGAAGAGTTATGAGCTATGTGAAAAGGTAAGAATTTACATGTCTACGCGTTATAGACTACTTGAAATGTAAAAGCCCATGTTATGTAGATGAGAACTATAGGTATAGTTGGCATGCCAAGGGTAGAGGGTATACTCGGTTCTTTAGGACATATGTATATCCTTTGGAACCTGTGTGAAGTCTTGAAAGACACATACTTGATCCATAGTATATGTATATGATTCTTAAGGAATTCTATGTGGTCCTTATGGACATCATTATATGGCACTACGGTGCAATTCTACGGGGCACTTCGGTGCATTTATACGAGCTGTGGTGACAGCATAGTGCACAACCTCACATTACTCAAATACCTTAGGTTCTCAATATGCTATCATGGGCCAAAGAACTTATTAATACAGATTCATAAATGTTACAGTCATACGCTTACAGGTATGGGTATTGATGATGTATACTACATTGATTAAGTACATGTTTGCATTTCATCTCATATGATCATGACATTTTCATTACAATTGCCTTATTATTATTGCCTCACTAAGTCGATGACTTAGCGTGTGAGTGTTTCACACGTAGGATCCGAGGAAATAGACGAGACAGGTGAAGCAGCTTGACAGTATTACTCCTGCAATCATCAGATCAGAAGCAACTTAATCAGTAGGTCATTTTGTTATGTAAATGGCAGTTGGCATGTAATTAAAGGGTTAAGTTGTGTATGCTCTGAATATTTTGGTAAACTTATATTACAGTATGTATATTATTGTATTTTCTTAATATAAGTACAAATATTTTACTATTACTTGTTAAGAGTTGTGTTTTAAAGTCAATGTAGTATCTCTGACTCATATCCGGGTCGGGTATGGGTTGGGGGTGTTACATTTAATGGTATCAGAGCTATGGTTTAGCCGATTCTAGGCATAAACCAGAGTCTATAGAGTCTTTAAATAGAATACATGCCAACAAATAGTGAGAACTTCTGATCTGGTATAGTATGAGTATGCTGTTTTGCTAATAGAACAATGTGTTTATTATTATTAGATGTCCGGACATAATAGCTCCCGAAGTAAAGCGGGAGAAGATAGGCATGCTGAAAGCAGTAATTCACCTGCCCTGGCCAGGCAAGGTGAAGAACAGGCATCTCAAGGAGTGCCTGTGCAAGATCAAGATACGTTCTTCAGAACGTTAGACGCTATTCTGACGCGTCTTCAACCTTCTGCTCCACTAACTCAAAGAATTAATGTAGCAAAAGAGTTGAGAAGTTTAGGAGCTCCCGAATTTAAGGGAGAAGCTGAGGAAGGTCCAGTGTCAGCGGATCTTTGGTTGAATGATTTGAAAATCATGTTAGATGGTCTCCACTGTTCCGAAGTGGTGGACGAGGATATGGTCTTTATTGAGGATATGGTCTTTGGTTGAATTTAAGGGAGGAGCTGTGTCTTTATTGAGGGGTCAGGCGAGGATATGGTGGACGAACGTCACCATGAGAATGTCAACCGACCAGTTGACTTGGTCTTTGTTTTTAGAAGAATTTAAAAACAAGTATATTGGAGATCCGTTTATCCGACAAATGAAGCAGGAGTTTATGAATTTGAAGCAGATGAGCCGCTCTGTATATGAGTACGAATGTGAGTTTAATAAGCTGAGCAGGTTTGCAGCTGAGCTTGTGCCTACTGAAAAAGATGCTTGCGAGTGGTTCGTGGAGGGCTTGCGCCCTAGACTTAAAGAAATGTTGATAGTATTAAACTTGTCCTCGTTCCAGGAGGTGATCAATCGTGCAAAAGCTCTTGAAAGGGCTCAGAATGAAAGATTTGGAGACTCAAGAGTTCAGACATCAAAGAGGACGACTACTTCTTCTAGCTCAGTACCAACAAAAAGGGGAAGAGACTCGGGATTTCGATCACAAACTAGATCAGAATCAGTTGCATCGTCTGCTAGGGGAGCAAGTCAGGCAAGACCTAGACAGACGCAGTCAGTGGAATCTGGTGCTGGGAGATCTACTCCGGGTCAAGGGAGACAGTGTCAGCATTGTGGGAAAAACCATTATGGAGCTTGTCGTATGGCTGCTGGGACTTGTTTTCGATGCGGAGATGCCGAACATTTTGTCCGGGATTGTCCATTGATTGTTGGTGAGCCGGCACCATCTGGAAGAGCTGGTTCTTT